GAGAAAATCTTTCCTCTCAGTGAAGAAGGAAAACAAAATGTGAAAGAGTTGGGATAATTGGTGGAGCAACATTTGAAATATTGGCTGTACAGATATTATAAAGTTTTTAATCAAGATCTATCTTGTATGAAGGGCTGGGTATATTTTTGATCAAATTTTTAGCTTAAAGGAATGTTTAATTCATTTTTTATAACATCTCTATTTGCTAAAGAAGGAATAGCAAGTGTCACTGTAGCTTCTGCAATGTTTCTGTTATCAGGGAAACTGTGAATTAAAAACAAATTTTGATTCTTCTATTTTGGGCTGCATTAGACAAGTAGAGGCAAATGATGTGATTAGTGAAATTCCCTTAAAAATGTACTATATCCAAAACATTAAATATTTATATTCTGATGAAAGAACTGTGATATCAGAAGGTGAGATATAAAAATTACTGAGGAGGGTATTACAGGATGTAATTAAAAAGTAATACTATGAATAAAAATTTAGAAGATGGTGTGAAAGAGTGGTGTTTCCATAATTAGATTATTTATATAATAATCTAAATGTTTTTAAAATTTATATCTCAGTTTTTAAAGTAGACATCAGAGCCACAAAGGAAATATACCCACTAAAATAAATTAAGCAAAAAGATAATTGAAACCTTAGAAAGACTTTGGCTCTGAATTTCTGGTAGTAAGGTACAAAAGTGAACATAGTAAGTTACACTGAGTCCTAGTGATGAGAAAACTTAAAACATTCTATTTCCACAGGAGAAACATTTTTTTTTCTTGCACGGCCTTCTAAAAGAAGTTTATGAAATCAGGTCATTTATAATGGACACTAACTAGCTTAGTGGACAACATCCTTGGTGAAATTTTACAAAACATTGAAAGACACTTATTTCTTCAAACATAATCAATTGTATAATATTAAAATGCAAGTAAATAGAAAATTTTTCAGAAGGCTGAAGCTTTGTTTTATGATCTTATCTGTTACACGTGCTTCTCTTTGTTTTTGTTTTTGTTTTTTTTAGCTGAGCCATCCCAGCAGCTGCTCAGCTTGGGCCGGGACTCAAACTGCTGTTGCTCAGAGCTCAAACTCTTGAGCGAGGTCTTAACCAACTGAGCCACTTGGCAGGCCCTATTATAGGTGCTTTTGAATTTAGGATCAAATCACCTTGGAGAAATACCTTTCTTTTCTGGAACAATCAACACATATTCTTCAAAAATGTAGCTGAAGTAATTTGAGAGTCAAAGCCACACAATAGAATCAATAACAATTTGATATTTTTGTCTAAGGGTTAATTTAATGGTTATTTAACTCACTGTTTGTTTTTTTAAACCTAAAAACTAAGATAATACTCTGAATCTAATTTATTTATTTTCATAAAACCTGCTCTTTTACATTCAACACTTAGGATCTTAAGTGTTGAGACGGTAGAATAACAGTGAGTTGGTGAAAATATGTAGAAAAGTATCATAATATGGTATTATACTTCATGTATTATAGAGACTACTTGTAGCAATCACATAAAAAATTTGGGCACTTAAGCAGTCAAGATTTGTGGGGTCTTGATAATTCCAGTGAAATAAAAATGCATAAAAGCATACTCTAATTTTTGTATGCAATCAATTAAAATGAAGTCCATTAAAAGCATTCGTCGTGTTTGGATGTAAATTCTTAAGGGCTAGTATAAAATAATTAAATAAAAATAGATTTCATATTAATGACAGCAGAAAATTAGTCAAAGTGAATCTCAAATATAATACTACAATATGCTGTGGTAAACCACTTCTATGGGAATACCTCTTTGCATTTCTTAATCAAATTCAGCAGGAAACGTAATTCAATATTTTGTGTTTCACTCACTCTACTTAAGGAGTCTCTTGGGTTAGGCACCCCAAGTAACTGAAAGAGCTACATACAGAGGGTGCCAAAGAAATGTATACACATTTTAAGAAAGGAAAACTGTATTAAAATTATAATGCTCAATATATAGCAATAACAAAAGATGACTACAAGTCACGTTTGACTCCTGCAATTACAAGATGCGCTTAAAGTGGTTCCCATCAGCATCCAGACACTTCTGATTACAGCAAACTACTGCTTGAGCAACGCTGACCAAAGTGTCCACTTGTATACATTTTTTGGCACCCCCAGTATATAGCTCTGTGTTATAAAATGATACATTTTTATTTTATAATACAGAATCCCCTACAAATAACCCTATACTTAATTTCATTTTGAATGTGTATTAAAAACTTCTTTAGGTTGCCTTGCTGACTTGTTAAGTACTGCAGAATAATTTGCATGTAATAACAATCACATACTGAAAACGATACATTTTTTTCATGTCTACCTACACTACAAACAGAAAAAAGAATTTTTGTTTAATGTTGTTTCAATTTTAAAATACCTGTGGATATTATATCAATTTGAAGTTATGATGGCAAAAATATTCATGTACAATATTTACTTGTGATTACTCTGTCCTACTCATGACTTTCCCTGTCTGTTTTAGGCAAGGATGAGTATGCAAAATGACACATAACCCTCCCCAGGCTCTGACAATGAAGTGATACATAAAGTAAATCAAAGTTCCAAGTGTCAACTAGACGGTAGATTTAATTTGTTATTTCCAGTAGTACATTACTGACCAATGTATAAAAAAATCGGCTAAACTACAATATTAATTTGCACCCATGTTGTTTATTTACCATTTAATTATATTTGGCCTTATATCATTACTTAAGCATTTCCTTTCCCACAACTTGTCACCTCAATGAATCATAATAATCAGGGAACCTGCTATCTTTTCCTAATTAACAGGTCTGATATCTCTTCTATTTCTCCTTATTACTTTGTATAACATTATGTACATTATAATACATTGAATAAAGAGTGAATGAAAATTATTAAGTTAAATTTAGTAGCATTTCTGTACAGCATATTCCCATCAAGATTAGTTTGTAAAACTACTTGACTTTGAATTAGTCAACTTTTTGTCCTTCTATATGCATAGCACAAGATTTACAGCAAATAGATGTCTACTGAATTAAATAAATACAATAAAAAAATACCATGAATGTCCCAAATGTGCCTTAAAGAAATTAATTACATAAAATGCTTTTTCTCTAAAACAATGATTAATAAAAAAAATTGTACCATGAAATTCACATAAATTTTACCAAAGAGAAGAATCTCTAAATAATATTAGAAGTTTGGAAGAAATAGTAATGCCAGATATGTTAAAATAAAAGTATTGCTATATGATATCTTTTTTTGTTACTGAAAGAGAAAGGTGGTATATTGTACTTTACACTCTAAATGAGATATAATTTTGTTGGAATTTTATATCAGTTACTAAGTGATTCTGAACCAGATGTCAATGCCAAGATTCTAGGCTTTTACACCTTTGGAATCCTTTTTGTCTGTCATCCCTCTCCTATTGGGTAGCTGATAATAATTTTTAAATAGCTCAGTAATAGGGAAAATGCCTTTATTTTCTTCAAGCAGTCTCTCCTCCCTTATACCATGCCACCTCTATTGTCATAATTTAGTTTGATCAGGCACTGTGCCATTTCATTTTAAAATGACTTATGCACCACAAATCCCAACTTCAATGCAATTATTCTGAGAAGCAAATACTTAAATGGAGAGTTCTGTGATTGTATAATAGAAACATTTTGGGAAGCTTTTTTCAGGTGATGGATTAAATAATATTTGATTGATAATACTTTGAAAGTTAAGATTTATTGGTTACTATGTGGCAGAAATGGTTTGTAGAGCTTCACATGTGATAATTTATATAATTCTCAGAGCTTTATAAATTAGGATCATTATCATCTCCAGAGGAGGTGTCTCAGTACAGGCAGGTGAAGTGACTTGCCAAGTCACACAAAGTAGTGGACACAGGACTCCAACCAGGATCTCTGGGGACCAAACCTTTCCTCGTTACCATCTAGGCAGACTGCTTCTCTGTAAGAAGAGTCCTTTTTATTTCTAAAAATATCAAAGATTTTTTTCACAAGCCAACATAGAAAAATTGATAATAGACAGTGGATTTGTTACTTTTGTCACTTCATTTACATCTGAAAAGCTATTTCTCATATCTATGGCATACTGTGAAACCTCTACTCTCTACACCCACTCCTATTCCACAGGACCTAATAAGTGAGAAGCACAGATCACAAACACTAACAGTCTTGGCTTTTATACAGTCAACAGAGAAAAAACAATAGAGAAAATTCCAATACATTTCTGCTCACATACATAATAAACAAAGAAAAAAATACATTGTAACTATATGCACTATTTCTAGGTGTAACAATTAGAGAGCAAGGTGAAATAGAATCAAGTTCAAAAACCATTGGTATCTGATTTTCACCTGTAAGTCATCTAATGTCAGCATAGTCTCATCCATCTATAAAGCCCAGCTGACCATAAAAGCTCATTACCATCCACAAGCACACAGATATATTGAGTACAACAGAGCCTTATATTTCATACAAGGATCTCCATTCCCTGAGCTTTATTTTCAAGGCTTCCTATCTGTTAACCATTGGTATGAAAATGGTGTTACTTAGATAGATCCATCCATTTCCTCTCATTCCACAGAAAGCCATTCTCATACCATTAAAGCAACAGCTGGTACTTCAGTTCAAGGCTTGATTAACCTTATATCCACTTCAGCAGTGACAGAAAGAAAACAAACATGAATGAGATGCTGGTTCTCATGGGGTTTTACTCATATCACCCTCATTTGCTACAACACGGTACCATGTGGGCCTGTGAGCACTGATTTCACAAAGGTATTCCTTATTGAATAAACAAAGGGGATAAATATTTCAGGAAGATGAAAAGGAGAAGGGGAAAAAACAAACAAGGCAAACAAAAAGCCCTTTGACCTGACATTATGGAAAAAATAAAAAAGACACTAAGATGAAAAAAAAATAGTGTCATGGTTTACATGTGGGATTTTGATGGAGTCTAGGGCTGTGTTTTAATTCAAAACTCACCATCTCAAAACCACTTCTTTTCATCCGCCTGCAGGACTTGAGGTAAGTACGTATACGTTTTCTGGCACGTTCTTGGTACTCAGGGAATTGTCGCCTGCATGAGTCAATGATAGCCTGGATCTTTTCTTTGGGCTGCTTAGAGATTGGGACCATTCGGTCCAAGTTTTCATCTACAAACAGCCTGACAAACATCTGTTGGCAAGAGGGAGACAGAGGAGAAGGGTTTGGAGGGCTGCTCTCTGCTGTTTCTAGCTTCCTGTCTTGACAACCGATAGGAAAATATTCTTTTCTGGTTTATTCACTGGAGAACGTTGCAATGGAAAGCCAGAAATTTTAAGCAAACACCCTTTAAAGACTTTCTAAATGGTTGGATAAAAAATAGAGAGAAAAAGAGAGAGAGAAAGGCAGACAGACACAGACAGACAGAAAAGTATAGACTATCGTGTAGAAAAAAATCAGGAAATAACAGTAGACTGCGACAATTAAGCACCCCATAAAATTCTCTATTAATGATAAATACGACTGCTACATTGCTACACCACACAGTGTACTAATCTCTGAAAACAAACAATCGACTCTTTTGTCATGCACAATTAGATAAGCTGAGAAAGCAAAATAAATAAATGATGACGGGCGTACTCTTCGGAGAAATAAGCTCAGGCCCCCTTCATCCACTAGGTAAACATGCATACTCACACAACACAACTCCAGTTCTCAGCTCACATTTGGCTTTAAAATTCTAAACAAAACACAGCAATTCTGGTGTCTGGTTGGCAAAGTGTGTTTCATGTACTTTTTAAATCCTTCTGTAAATTAAACAAACATGTCTCTAAAATATCCACATTTACCAACAAGCAACAACATGAAAGTGAAGTGGTAAAAATTAAGCCACACTGGGAAGGTGGCAGAACTCACATTAAAAGCTTTCAGTCGCTCTGCCTCCACGCCATCTGTCTCGTTAACTTTCTCAGAATCGTCATGGTCATCGTGGTCATCTTCATCTTCATCTCCCCTGTTTAGTGATAGGTCCTCTGCGCCTCGATCTACACTCTCATTTTTGCCAGAGTCGTAGCTTGAGTAACTATGTGCAGGAGACTGAAAAGAAAGGAGGAAATTGCTGCTTTTAAATTAATTGCACAAGCTTATACATTTTGTTTTAGTTTTAATTTCTACTGTTTCTCAAAAGTCTTGTTGAAATGAGTTTTCTAGAGCTGTGGCTTTTTAAATTTCAGTCCAAATTAATTAAAATTAAATTAAAAATTCATTTCCTCAGTCACATTTCAAGTACTCAATCGCCACATGGAACATTTCCATTACTGCACAAAGTTTTATTGAATTTAGCTTTTCGAGACCAATTACTGTTTCCACTGAATATCCATGTTCCAAAGAAAAGAAAAACCAGCCTGTAATCAATTTTGCAAGAGAATCATTGAATCACGTATTCTTCAAAACAGAAATGACCTCAGAGCTTAGTCAGTCTAACTGCATTAGTATTCTTTAAACAGATAAGGAAACTGAGGAGTGGATATGTTTAACTGCCTTGCCTAACAAGGACTATACAAAATGTTATTGAAACTACGGGTGTTATTTGTATGCCAATATGCTTTAAAAGAGTTTAAAATTGTTTATGAGTCTTGAGATGGCACTTGATTTTGGTTTAGAAAAAAGGAACCAGAATTCCTCCTAATCTCTGTCAAAAAAGTGTTTCCCAATGTATGAGAAATGATGAATACCAACCAACACAATTTTCACAAGCTGAAAAATGTGTCCAATGCTAACCATGGGTCCTGCTGTGCTATCTCCTTCTTCTGTTAGCCTAGCCTCTTTTCCTTTCAGAAGCAGCAACGGTTTCACCAAGTGAAGGTGCCAATCCTATGGGCATCAACCTTCTCTATCCAAGCCTCAACTTCACCTCTAGGTGAAGAAAGCTTGCTTGTAACTGAAATCAAGTTGAATCCAGCAGAGCAAAACAGAACAGAAACAGTCCTGATAATATCATTTGAACATCTAGATTCAGCTGTGCCTGAAATTAACCCATAGACACTTTAGTTGTGTGACACCATGCATCCTCCACCCTCCTCTTCATTTAATGTTTTGCTTAATAAGTTTCAGTCACATGCAATTGAGGCTGGAGTGATACAGAAATAAATAATTATGAGGCTAGATTAATGACACAGATTTCACACATAACTTAGATACATAGGAGCGCTAGCGAAATAAATAATAATATCTGTAAACAGCAGCAGCTATCCTCAAATCTATCAGCAAAGCAAAATACTTTTGAAAGACGTTTACAATGTGAAATTTAAAATTAACAGTGTTCAAAACTGCCCCCATGCAATAACATATGTGTAACATGTTTTAAGGAACACGCTAATATAACTATATAATCAGAGGAAGGATAATAAAACTAGAATGGACCACTGACATTGGGTTGTCGGAAAAGTCATGATGCATGTTTGCGACAGATGGCACTAGTGCATTTTTGGAAGTACTAGCGTCATTCACATCTATGCTATTATTATGTCATTTGACAACTGACAGTTCTAGCTTCATTCTAAAAAAAAATTGAGCCATTTGGCTGAGTTTTGGAGATTTTCCAACAAGTTGAAGATGGAAGACCAAACTCTGCATTTTTGCCATATTTTACTGTTTTACTTCCATGCAAAGAAGAATGTGCATCAAGCTTGTGAAAAGTTGCATAACATTTACAGTGACAGTGCTCTACAAGAACGTCAGTGACAACGATGGTTCACCAAATTTTGTGCTGGTTTTTTAATCTCAACAACGCTCCTTGGTCAGGGGCGCCCACCGAGGTTGATGACAACAAAATAAAGGCATTGATCGAGGCAAACCCACATTACATGACAGGAGAGATTGCAGAAACATTGAACATCCATTATTCAAGTGTTCATGGCCACCTGAAGAAGCTGGGATACGTAAGCAAGCTCGATATTTGGGTTCCACATCAACTCAAAGAAGTTCATTTGATGGTGCGTATAAACATTTGCCTTATGCTCATTAAACGTGAGGAAAACGATCCTTTTTTGAAGCGACTGATAACTGGTGATGAGAAGTGGATTGTTTACAACAATGTGGTGCGCAAACAGTTTTGGTCCTGACGTGATGATTCGCCTCAAACAACATGGAAAGCAGACATTCATCAGAGGAAGGTTATGCTCTCGGTGTGGTGGGATTTTAAAGATGTGTTTTTCGAGCTCCTTCCAAGGAACCAAACAATTCAAATGTGTACTGTCTGCAATTGGACAGTTTGAACGAATCCATCATCCAGAAATGTCCAGAGCTTGTTAATTGTAAAGGAGTTGTGTTCCACTGAGACAACGTGAGACCACACATGTCAAAATTATTGGAGCTTGAATAGGATGTGTTGCCACACCCACCATACTTGCCTGACCTTGGTGCCGTCAGACTTCCACTTGTTTTGCTCTCTTCAAAACTTCTTGCGTGGTATAATGTTCAATTCAGATGAGGCTGTAAATCAGCACTTTGTTCAATTTTTTGCAAATAAAGACAGGTCCTTCTATGAACGAGTAATTATGAAGCTCGCTGAAAGATGGCAAAAGGTTATCGAACAAAACGGGCACTATATCATTGATTGATCTTTGTTCTTTATATAAATAAATGACCTTTGAAAAACATAGACAAAATACGTCATGACTTTTCTGACATCCCAATAAAAGTGAAGATTAAGCTTCTGGTCAAAATGGCAGAATTGGAAAATGCTGTGCTCACCTTTTCCCAAGGCAATATAAAAACTGTGGGGTAGCCATACTTATACTACACAAAAGAGACTTTAAAACAAAGACTATAACAAGAGACAAAGAAGAACCCATTAATCCTACTTCTGGGAATTTATCCAAAGAAACCCAAAATACTAATTTGAAAACACATGCATCCATATTTTCATTGCAGCATTATTTACAATAGCCATGATATGGAGGAAACCTGGGTGTCCATCAATGGATGAATGGGTAAAGGAGAGGTGCTACAGATATACAAAGAAACATTACTGAGCTATTAAAAAAAAATCTTGCCATCTGCAACAACATGGATAGATCTAGAGGATATTATGCTGAGAGGAGTAAGCCAGACTGATCAAGACAAATACCATATGATTTTACTTATATATGCAATCTAAAAAACAAAATGAAGAAACAAAACAGAAACTCAGATACAGAGAATGTTTTAATGGTTGCCAGATGAGAGGGTAGTTGGGGGGATAAGTAGGGGTAAAGAATTAAAACGTACAAACTGGTGGTCACAAAATAGTCATAGGGATGTTAAGGATAGCATAGGAAATAGTCAATGAAATTGTAGTAACTATGTATAATGTCAGTTGTTTACTACATTTATCAGGTTGATCACTTTGTAAGTTATGTAAGTGTCTAATCACTATGTTGTATACCTGAAACTAACATAATATTGCATATCAACTTTTCATTGAAAAAAAATTTTAAATTATTTTAAAAAACAGACATAAAAATTTAAAAAACAGCATATTTTTAACAGTTCAAATCATTAACAAGGTGGAATTACCTAATAAAATACAAGGCAAATATTCCGTAAATTTGAAGAATACACCATATATGTATTTTTAAATGGCAGTATGCAACATTTGAAAATGTTATAATATACTTATCTGAATGAAAATATGCCAGGCTTACTCTTTCTACATATCCTGAGACACACAAACCAGCCTCTGCTGCAAACAGAACCACTTGGAAGCATGAAGGATGGTCCTTATCACTTAGGGTAAAGACAGCCCAATGTTATCATTTGTAACAAACGTACCACTCTGCTGAGTGATGTTGATAATGAGGGGGACTATTAATGTGTAGGGGTCAGGGGTATATGGGAAATCTCTGTACCTTTCTCTAATTTTGCTGTGAACCTAAAACTGCTCTAAAAAACTAATGCCCTTCCAAAAGATGGGGAAATGTGGGTATTGGGGTGATAACTCACAATCAAACATTAAAAATCAGTATGCAGGCATCCTGATAACCCATATACAATATGGCAGTCATTACCCCATATAGTCGGCTTGCCTTAATAAGAACTTTGGATGACTATACCCTAGGAAGCCTTCATTTCAGAAGCAATTATTTTCATATTCCAGCTATGCGTCTAAAACATCCAAATGAGGTCTTAAAGTTATACAAAGATATTAAAGATTCACAACTTACAGCCTATGGAAGATACTTGCCCGCTGACCCTTAAAACATGGGTGTTGGTTTATGGGGCTAAGGGTATATTTTTGCCTTAGTTATATATTCTATTTGTTCCTCTTGAGATAACATGTGGCCCTCTTTAGCAAAGACCCTCCCAAAAATACATTTGCACTTCCTTTTCTCACATGTTCCCAGCCTTACGTAACTGCTATCACTGGACCTAAAAAAATCCGCATCGGGAGGAAGCTAAATCTGTTAGTGTGCTCTGGGGTCAGAGCGCAGGATGGCTCAGACAGCAGTACCACAGTGCTCAATATGAGATGCAGCTGGGGTGGGGGTGGGGTGCAGTTTTGATATGCAGCCAAGAGAAATAAAGACAAAAATTTATTTCTTCATTATGCCCTAAATAAGGGGAGAACGACATGAATTCAGTGCCAGGAATCCACATTTTCATACTTTCTATACATGTCTCTGTCAAGGCAGTGATTATAAAGTATTGTACAAGTTAGCTTGTATGTCCCTCTTCCACTAAGACCTACACGGGGTTGGGGTCACCTAGAGGCCATGCCTTTTCTATCTTTATAACCTCGCACAATGTCAAGCACAGAGTGGAAATAAAGTAAATGTTTTCTGAACATTTTTACAGAAGATGATTTAATTTTTTTGAACTGTAAGTTTCAAATGTATCTTGCCAGTTACTTTTCAAAATTTCAGTATCTATTATTGAATCTACTAGGCAATCTTGGCATCATTAAAAGTGTGATGACCACACAGACACTGTGTATTCTGACATGATGTGAAAAGAAGCATACAGCATCACTTAAAAAGCAAGTTCACCAAAAGAAAAAAGAAAAGAGAATTTGAATCTAACCCAACCTCAGTCTAAAAGCAGTAGTTCTCAAAGTG